CCACTGTGAAGCCTCTCAGTCCTGATGAAGGGTCTCGGCCCTAAACATCGACTCTCCTACTCCTCTGATGCTGCCTGACCTGCTGTGTTCCTCCAGCTCCACACTGTATCAACTCAATTTCATTGTGCAGTAGCACTTCAAATGATGTTATAGAGTCATGTCATACAGCACAGAAACAGACCAGTCGGTCCAACCAGTCCATGCCAAACTAATCCCACCTGCCTGCTCCTGGCCTATATCCCTCCAAGCCTTTCCTATTCATGTACTTATCCAAATGTCTTTTAAAAGTTGTAATTGTACCCACATCCACCACTTCCTCAGGAAGTTCATTCCACACGCGAACCACCCTGTGTGTTTTAAAAAAGTTTGCCCCTCATGTCTTTATTTTTAAATCTCTCTCTTCTTACCTTTAGAAATTTGCCCCCTAGTCTTGAAATGCCCCGTCCTAGGGAAAAGACAACTACCATTAACTCTGTCAATATCCCTCGTTATTTTATAAACTTCTATAAGGTCGCCTCTCAACCTCCTACGCTCCAGGGAAGAAAAGCCCCAGCCTTTCCATACCTGGCAACATCCTGGTGAATCTCTTCTGAACCCTCTCCAGTTTAGTAATATCTTTCCTATAACTGGGTGGCCAGAACTGGACACAGTATTCCAGAAGAGGCCTCACCAATGAATGCCCTGTACAACCTCAGAATGACTTCCCAACTCCGGTATACACTGAGTAATGAAGGCAAGTGTGGCAAGTGTGCCAAGTGCCTTTTTAACCACCCTGTTCATACGTGATGCAAACTTCAAAGAATTATGTACCTGCACCCCTAGGTCCCTCTGTTCTACAATACAGCCCAAGGCCCTATCATTAATTGTATAAGCCCTACCCTTGTTTGTTATACCAAAATGAACCTATAAACTTCAGCATGCCATCTTTCAAAACGATACTGCTACAAGCACCAATTCATTATTTCCACAGGAACTTCCAGTGTACCACCTCAATTTCTCATCTCTCAAATCCTCCATCTCCATTACCTGGAAGGACGGGAGTAGTATGTGCATGAAAATCCCACCATCTCCAAGTTTCAGACACTTGGACTTTGAATTGCAGTTCCTTTAGAGTGGCACAGTGGCTCAGTGGTTAGCACTGCAGCTTCACAGCACCAGGGACCTAGGTTCAATTCCAGCCTCAGGCAACTGTCTGTGTGGAGTTTGCACATTCTCCCCATGTTTGCATGGGTTTCCTCCCACAGTCCAAAGATGTGCAGGTTAGGTGAATTGGCCATGAAAAATTGCCCATAGGGTTGCATAGATTATGGGGGGATGAGTCTGGGTGGGACGCTCTGAGGTTCAACATGGACTTGTTGGGATGAAGGGCCTGCTTCCACACTGTAGGGATTCTGTGAGAATGCAATATCTCACATTTATCCAGATTGAACTCCAAGTGCCATTTTTCAGCCCATTGACCCATTTGATCAGGATCCCTTTGTAATCTTAGAGAACCCTCTTCACTGTCTACTATGCCACCAATTTTGGTATCGTCTGCAAACTTACTAACCGTGCCTTCTATATTCTCATCCAACTCACTTATATAAATGACAAACAAAAGGGGACCCAGAACTGATCCCTGTGGAACACCGCTGATA